ACCGAATTTGCTGTCTTAACGTTTCGTATCTGTTCCGCATATATGTGCAAGCAAACCTTTAGTCGAATGGATTTTTTCTTAAAGCTTAGTTTCCAACAATTCCAGATTTTTTTTGTAGTTCTGATGTTTCCTAAAACCTTGAACTTCCTTAAGCCCTAGAGTCAATCAAACTGTATGACCATTATTCAAGCATCATTAGCGCACATGAACGAAAATTTTTATTCACGGTCAGTTTTCTTTTGCTCACTGAATAATCTCATGTTTAATGATGGGAGGAGTACTGATTCGTGATCAACGCAGCACAATGACATATGCATTACAAACCTTGCCACCATTTGGGATCTGCGCCATCTAGTGACATATAGTGGGCAACGTCGGTACAGAAAAAAACCCAATAAGTTGATAGCGCTGAAACTGCGCACTCACTTTACCAAATGCAACTTTCGACATTGCCATTTGATTGTAAATAAAAACGAACTAAGATTTATCCAAACTCTCAATAACCCAAAGCCATCTTAATGTTCACGAATTCCGGCATCAACTAAAAGATGAAGAATACGATATCAAATCTTAATTCATTAAACTTCGGCCAAATATGTTACTTTCTTTAACTAACCGACAGGGATATTTTGGAAGAAAACATGAGTCACCCTCTCCTGGAGATTCTACGGTAGCAGATTAAGTTTATCTGTTGTTCCTTAGAAAACTTGCACTTAGCACATTGATAAACCTTACATTTGTGTAGCAGCAAAGATAAAGCATAAAAGTACAATAGCACCAGAAATGAAGCGCTTGAAAATATCCATTCGACATAAAATATTTCGAATTACATGGAATTTATCGAAAGAATAATGTTAGTATCACGGCATCACAGCGAGACAGCTCGAAGGCAATTAGAGAAATAACTGAACTGATACACAATAGTCTTTTCATGTTCACAAAGGGCATTAGTTTATCATTTGCAAGGATTCAAATTGAAAAATTTCTGTCAAAAAGCCTTAATAATATCTCAATAAGAATATTGTCAACGCGCTAACCCACATGTGAAACGCAGATGGGGCTTATGAACAAGAAGCTGATCACCATCTCTGCCAGCTGTTAAGAAATAGCTCTCATGGCCACTGAGGTGTGATTATTGCACTACATATGGTATTTGCGACAGAACTCGTTGTGTCCCGTGCCTGTATGTACAACAAATTGTTCAAGCTAAGAAAGACAGCGCACTGGTGGCATTGCGGTGGAGTTCCATCAAGCAATAAATGTAACTAATCTAATATTCATTAATTCCGCCTTTGCCTTCCCTTTGTTCATTAAAGACCAGCCATGCAGCAATCTGTAGACTTGAAAGGCACGGATTTACAGTTTCCTGCGTGACAAAATCAAAGCCTAATTAGATATAAAGTAATATCCATACTGAAGCAGCCTATTATTGCCGATGTTCCTGATCTTCTCATCGATTAAAGCGTCTGGGCACAGTGTGTAAGATATCTGCTTTTAATTCCAGAAGTGCCGGCTCCGATTTCATTTGAAGGCAATCTTTGTCTAATTCACCCTTTTCATCGAGGAAACAATAATCACATACTACTTCAGACCGGTGATGCTCAGTCCGCAGAGCATCGAACTCAGAGCAGGTAAGTCATGAGTTCAAGCCCCGATCAAGGTCATTCGTCTTTCTTCTTTCCTAGGTTGATAAATGAGTACTACTCAGTGGTAAGGAAACGGGAGACTACACGCTACGCTTGCCAGATGGATCTAAACCCGGCCTTTAAAGTAATTCACTCTTAGTTGATGATATATTAAGAGTTCATCACCAAGACAGAAGTGCGCTAAAAAAGCCCAATCATGACAGTGGAAGAAGACAAAATTTCAACCATGACAAAGTTTCCTTCCTTTCAGTCGATGAGGTACCAGCAGTGTCGATCAGGAAAGCTTGATTTGCGAGCAGTGTTTCTGGACCTCATTCATGCGTAAAGCACAACATTGCGAGAAATAAGGGAGAATCTCTTATTGCGCTACCGTAAGAGATAAACTTTTTCCGTTGATTAACTGATTGTCTTTCAAAGGGATCACATTATGTTGCTGTCGTCTCGGGGCACTAAAAGCGTCAAAACGCATGGAAAATAACCTCTTGAAGGTGCATGATACTGTTCTATAATCTTTCTTCCTTGACTTTTACGCATTAGTTCATGACAGATACGAGCCAAGTATCTGCTGCCACTGTATTCATCACGACCTCGGATGATAGGAATGATCATCATGCCACGCTGAAAAGATTAGAACAAGCTTTCTTTCGATCTTGGCCTTTCTTTAAATCCTTCAAAA